GGGTGCGGCGGGGGGCACGGAGCTGTGTGGGGGCAGGTGGCTTTGCCCACCTTTGGGGTGCACCCGGTGAGCGCCGGCTCCCCTCGCCCGGCTGCTTGCTCTCGCCTCCTGCCGCGGGGTCTGAGCCGGGTCCGGCCACCGCTGCCCTCGCTGACAGCCCCTGCTTCTCCTTGCAGGGGACGCTGGAGGGCCTGGAGGAAGAGCTGCTGGCCTTCTTCTCCGTCACCCCTCACTCGGTCTACACAGCGCTGATGGACAACAGGTATTTCCCTGCCTCGGGCTCTGTGGGTGTCGCCGCTCCCCACGGAGCGGGGCCCGGGGTCCTGAGCCATGCACACCCCGCATGCGGGGCTTCCCAGCCCACCACGGCCCCAGGCAGCTGCCACGCACGCAGGCTGCTCCGCCTGGGTTCCTTGGGGCCCCAGAGCCACCCCGGGCTGTGGAGGGGCTCTGGGAGCAAAGGAGACCCCTTGGTCAGGCTCAGGTCTCTGGCTGGGGACACTCGCCTGGCCTGGCCCCTGGGGAGCCCCCAAGGGAGGGATGCGCTGGGGGAATCCCTGCACAGGGGCTTGGGGCACTTTGTGCTCCCCATCTCTGATCCATGGGTCCGTGGGGGGAACCAGGGCAGGGCAGCGCGGGGGAGATGCTGGTCTGAGGCACGACAGCTCTAACCCTGTCCCCCATCTCCCCAGCTTCGAGCGACTCCTGCTCCACGCGCTCTGCCAGTACATGGACCTCGTCTCTGCCAGTAAGAGCCCCACGCTTGTTTGTTTGGTTTTGGTTTTGTTGTTGTTTTTCCTCTTCTCTTCATCGCTATCTCTGCCCTGCAGCTCAGCCTCCTCCTCCCCTTCGCCCCCCAGCCCCACCTCGCGCTGCAGCTCGCCGATAACGCTGCTCTCCCGCCCAAAGCTGCCCCCGGAGCCTCGGCTGTGGCGGCGGCGCCGCTTTGCCAGCGCGGGTGGGCGAGATCGGGCGCTGCCGGGGGTTGAGCCCAGCAGCCGGGGGGGGTCTGCCAGGCCCAGCTCTGCCCGGGAGCGCCTCGTTGGCCGC